ACATTAAGCCTTGTGTCTAAATAAAGGGCTTCCAACATAACGTTAGTATTTAGAAGATTTACTTCCCGTGTCTTCATACAGTCTAACAAACTCTGGCTTATCGGTGTTCTGCGCTTTTCTAAATTACCTTTGCATGTCAACCACTCTATGAAAAAATCACCCAGTGTCAATTGTTCTTTTTGCAGTTTTAATGTTGCTATAAAACAAGGTTTTAGACAATCAATTAGATCTGTAATTGTTTGCCAATTCGATTCATCTAATCTTGACATGATATTTGCATCATTAAGACATACAGTTTTTAATGACTGCATCCTTAATAACATGTTGTAAGTAGAAGACCATCGTGTAGGACAATCAATAATAGGCTTCTTCAAGTTGGCTCTTTTCAAAATATTTCTAATAGTCGGTGTTCTTAACAATTTGACTACTTGTCGCACACGAAATATTAAATTGTCAACATCTGGATTCGATTCAAAAAAATCTTTAATAGCTAACTGAAGCGTATGTGCAGCGCACAGCATTGTTCTCGGTAAAAAATTGGATCTGGAGTAGTTTTCATTTTCATTTAAAGCTGTCATTAGGCTGTCGATTGGAATCTCATGATTTATATCATTTGCATTATCTTCGTCTTCCTCGTCTGTTTCACTGTCTGTATCATATTGTCCAGATTCTTGGTCAATATCAATGGGCTCGTATGAACCACCTAACAGCTTTGCCATTTTTTTAAAATTCTTTCCATTGTCGGTAGTTATACAATAAATTTGTGATGCGTCAATTTGATAATCATTCAAAACATCTAAAAGAGTCTTCTTCAGAAATTCCCCTGTCTGGCGCTCAAATACTTCCTGTGCAGCTAAAGTACGTATTTTAACAATTTCATTTTGTATGTATTGTACATTAATGCCAAGAAATGATCTGTCTTGATAGGTGGCAGAATCTAATTTTACACATAATAATTTTTGTCTTAATTCCGTAGCAATCTTTAATTTAATTTCATAACTTTTGTCTGCAATCGTCGATTTTATTGATTGGATATTTATAAATTTATTAGTCGGTACGACCATATTAATAATTTTTTGAAACGCTGCATCCTCTAATAATTGAAAGGGTCTACCATGAATAGTGACAAGTTTTACGCAATTTGTTTTAATTTCAGATATTAAGTCGTCGTTTCTTTTTTGCGAGACGTTTTGTTCACGTTGTGTATGATTAATTATTAAAATATCATCAAATTTATTTTTATGTTTGACAGACATGTGATTTTTTAAGTTGGTCGCATGTTGCCCCTGTAACAAAATATATATAAATTATTAAAAAATAAGTGCATTAAATATTGAAGACAGAATGTTTAACTTTTTTTTAAAAAATAAAAGCCTTGAATGTAATATTAGTGATTTTCAAAGGATAAAATCAGTCTATCATTAGTGACACCTTGTATTAGATGCACTTATATTAATTATATATGAATCCAGCCTCAAATCATCTAAAGTTGCATCTTATTAGGTGTTAAGAACAGTTTGGTTTACACCGCGTATTGACATCGTGCGAGGGGCTTGATAAATATTAAAAATAAAAATCTGTTTCTGCAATCACATCAATGATATAGCTCTAGAGCTTGCAGGTGTCTAGACATACTTAAATTTATTTTAATATAGCATCCATGGCTTATTTTCCCCTTGCGGGGTTCGAACCCGCAACCACAAGTTTTATAATCCGGAGCGCCAACCACTAGACTATATGGCTGTAAAAAACCGTAAAGTCGTAAAAATGTTATAAATGTGAGTACTATAAGCATTAATAACTATCAATAAATTAATCAAGTTCTTGGACTAAAAGAAGTCATACTGAGTTTGATTATAAAAATTAAATCAAAGCATACTGAATTATTTACTAAGTAATTATAATACAAAGTAAAATAACTAGGTAGGTAGGATAAAAGCCGGATACTCGCCGTCTTGACAGACAGACAGACAGACGGAGAACAAAGAGATCCTATAAGGGTTCCGTTTTTTCTTTTTTAGGTACGGAACCCTAAAACATAGTAAGTGGTCTATCCCCACGAGAGGCAAGTATCCCTCGAATATTTTTTTACGTTACGCTGGCTGCTATCCGCTTTAGTAGGCTACTTCTGGAAGGATTCTCTAAACTTAAATCTAAAGGAGATTGCTCAGCTTCCATACATGTTTGGCCTAAAAACCAATAACCATGAAAAATTGTTTCCTACATTCGAAATTATATATAAATTACCGTAGAAACGAATATTATCGACGGCCACTCCTGAGAACTTCTATAAACCATATACACTGAATGATTTTGAGGTTATGTTTGCAAATAGGCACATAGGTATTAGAATAATAAAAACCAAATAACTTATATAGGAAAATAGGGCAATCAAGCCAAGTACTGATATTATGTATTAGATTCAGGTATATAGAGCATGTAAAATAACAGATATGTGCATGTTTTTAAAATTAATGCACAAGAGTAAGTTTTAAAATCATGATTATGCCATTGCGACTTTCAGAAGCAATCTTGTTTCATTTGACAAGTGTCTAACACTAATTACACTAACAAAATGCATGTCAAGGAACTGGTACCTGCTTACCTATGTTATGAGAAACATGGAACTGTTATCATAATTTTATAAAAACCAATAGTATATTTTCTTAGTAATAATTAGGTTTATAATGGTAAAAGGTAATTCTAATGTAATAATATATTGCGTAGGTTCATGATAGTTCTGATCAATGTGTGAAATATGTATATTCCTGACATAGCTTAAATATTCTGATAAGGTAAATTAATGAAATAAAACAACTTAAGTACTTTTATGTTGCGTTTAATATTACATATCATCTACATTTTGAATTAAAATATCATCGAGAAACTGTGCAGGGGGATTTATATTTTCTTGGTATCTGGCCCAGCTCAAATACCAAATTATTGTCATCACATGAGCGCAGCAACCTACAGTTCTGCGCCCAACAACACAATTACAACAATAACGGCATAGACGGCAATAGACTTTATGATGTCGCCTACCATCTATATTAATTGTCTTAGCACATTTGCATGTAGTAAAAATGATAATAAAGTTGTGGATATTAATACCACAGTGTAATAAAAAAAAAATTATCAATCTTTACAAAATAGATTTGTTTTGATGTTATATAAACAACCTCGATCAGTCTTTGTGAATGTTACTACACCCATAGCCAATAAAAATGATTCGTATGTTTTCCAAACCGGTAAAAATAGAAGTCCTTTTTTAAAATTAATATATTATTTAAAGGTGACCGTTAAAATCTAATGACTGTAAAATAAAGTATAAATTACGCCAAGAATTACTGTATATGTCAATATTTTATTTGTATTTAGGCCAATTTGACCAATCTCCTTTAACATCAGTCCGTCCTTTTCATTCTGTATAGAGAATGACAGGGATACACTGTTGTCAAATTTAAGTTTAGCTTTAGAGAATCCTGCCAGAATCGACACCACTATCCCTTTTTTGAGAGGTCTAATAAAACCGGATTTACTCAAAACCATATTAATGAAGTTACAAAAATAGGCTACTATGAAAGATCAAGGACCGTTGTATTGATATACACGATACATCACTTCTAGTAAGTACATATTTTTGAACAATAGAGCTTTATTAAAAAGTGGGGTATCTACCCGGCTTTTACCCTACTATTACAGCTATATGAAGCAAAAAACGGGTCAACGTCGGAATGAGAGGTAATAAGCTGAAAATTTGTAAGGACCTTTGTTTTGGCATTCTTAATGATGTGTCAAAAGTCTCATTTATAATCTCATGACGGCTTCTTCAGATATTCAAGGTCAAAGGTCACAAATCCGTTTTTCGCAAATATCTCGCTTTCTATGCGTTCGATCGTATTTGCACCTATTATAAAAATTGTACAGCATTAAATTCTCTACAATTTGTGTGTCAGTGTCAAGCATTTTGTTTTACGATTAATTGTTTTTGAGATAGAGTGCGGAGAACGCGCAGCGCTCAGTTATACATAATAGTATGGAGTTCATTTACTCAAAATCAAATCTAACGCGAGCGAAGCCGCGGGCAAAAGCTAGTAATAATATAAAAACATATAAATAAATACTACTATTATAAAAGCGTTTAAAACTTTTTTTACTAACTTTTGTTTAATGTACTAAGTACCTAATAGATTGCTGTACCTGTGTAAGTACCTACCTATATATTTTATAAATACCTACACAATGTTCATACCATACCTCACATAATCAAAGCAAAAAAATGGGAACATGGTACCTACCTTTATTTTACCTTGGCAATGTATGCACTTACTGTAATTCGTCTCTTCTTCATACGTAAAGTGCCTATGAACTGCATCTTTTTTCACTTTTGGCATTATCACAGATCAATCACACAGAAGCACTTAGTTAGTTTATTATTAAAAATGTAAATGAACTAGATTTTAGATTAGAAGTTTTGCGTTATATAATATAACGCAAAACTTTCGATGATTCAGCTCAGCTTATAAAGAAAGTGATCGAAGTAAATAAACAATAGGTAATACCGGGCAGCAAGCGGCACGTGCTACAATTACAATACAAATTACTCGCAAATAAACTTTAAGAGAAAGCACCAAAGAATCAATTTAGCTTGGTGTAATGACGACGAGGTCATGTCAAGTTATAACTCGTCACTTCACTGAAGGGCCAATCACAGCTAGCTAGCCGTGTGTCTCTTTCTATGTATGAATTTTGAACAAAAAAGGACTCTACGTAAGAACCGGTTAATATAGAGGTTATTAATCAATTATACAGGTTAACCCTTTATATCGGGTTTTTAACCTAATCGTTAAAATTAAACCGATTAAAACACCTATACGGGTACCCATATCGGTCCTTGCTTTTAAAACCTGTGTTTTGGGGGGATTTCGGATAATAGCGAAATGGCTATCTGGTAACACTGATGTCAGTAACTGTCAAGGTAAATTGTCAAACATATGTCATTGACACCTTACGCAAACTTGGTTACATGAGTGTCGAGCGCACAAAGAATTGAAATTTATTTTAGTATTTAATCACAGTAACAATGCTATTGTAGTGGGTGTGAATGTAGACCAGCGTGTGCCGCGACCATGGGCTACGATATCGGCTGGATAATCCCTCGCCTGCGGAACCCAGGCAGGCTCTGGTACTGTGCAAGCTCCATCACAGTGGCTGTCGTCGGTTTATTTAGCAAGATTATCATAGGTGCGTCCTATTCTCCCTTTTAATACGAATACTTTACTTTAAAATATTCTGCCTTGCAAGATATTGATATTTTCTTAGGTATGAGTATAACGTTAATTTCTTTTCAAAGTATTCTAAACTTGTACATGAAACAAGTTAAACTTGCATCGTCAACTTGTTTTTACATCAGCGGAATTTGAACTAGCTGCTTACGGTGCATATCATACCGTGCGCTACTCATGTAATAAACTGTGCACAAATTATTAGCAAAGTTTTATGGTTCAATGACCTCAAACTCTAGACACGTATTATTACGCGAGTTGTGGTTGATTCCAATTTAAAGAAATTACTGTAAAGTTTTAATTGATGGAATGTTCATTTTGTCACTGGGAATAAAGGTTATTTTATTATTACCTGCTGTTAACTGCTCCTGAAACTGTACTTTTTAATAAAATATAATCTTTAGTTTGTTGCTTAATGATGTAACGAATAATAATGGTATATTTTATTTCACGCTATAGTTTTAAGATTACAGTTTTATTGTAAATAGATTATATTTCCATTCAAAAGAGTGGAAAACAAAGCTATAAAATGCATTAATAACATTGTCAAACAACTTTATCCTTCATACTCAGTTACTCAAATATCCAATACATTTGAAATACTTCTCTGACAACTTGTCTTAAGTACGAGGCCAAAAACAAATCCTTCACTATTTGGGGAAACTTATTACTCAATTCTACAATTACATTAAGATCCTAGTTTCATTATTAGTAGTTCATGTACCTTTATGCGAAGACTACCTGAGATTGTTTGCGTTTTTGTAAAAATATATTTTCTGGTATTACAAATGTAGAAGTTCATTTACATATTCTCTCTAATACTCTATTTTTAAAGAGTATTTATCAATGAGGGTTTTTTGAATTGATGGGCACCAGGTGACAGGACTGAGGCAAAATCGCATATGTTCTCATAGCCTATGTATCAATTTAAATGCTTGTTTCATTACTTTCCACCAAAAACTTCATACTAAAAGACCTTGCATCACAGTGTCTCCAAATACTGACAGGAATTTTCCTAAGCACCTTCATTTGTTGATTTGTTTTAATAAAGGCACAACATAAAACTAAAAGAAATGTAACCTATATCTATTAAAAACAAATGTAGCAATGTATGGTGGGTATCTTTTTGATAAAATAACTATGATAATAATTTTAACAATTGGTCAAATTTCCTTGGTTCTGATACTAAAATACTTGCAATTTTGAACAGTTGTTTAACATCTAGATCAGTGGTGTCCAACCGGTAGCTCGCGGGCACCTGGTAGCCCGCAACCTGTATTTTAGGCTTCCGCGAAACAAATTTTGGTGTAATAAATTAAATAAACAATAAGTAATTTGTTTCTGAGGTTTTCACGCAGATCACTCAATAAATAAAACTAGTTTTTATTAACCCATAAAAGCTAGTTTTATTTATTGTACTAAATTTATTTATTTATTGACGTTTCATTTAAACAATAAGTAAATTATGCTGCATCGTATAAAGACGTTAGTAGGTCGTTATAAAGTAGTTTCCATTAACTCACTTATGATTTATTATGTTGGCGGTGCCCTCATAGTGTATCAGGATTGTCAAAATAGCCCTTGGAGCAATACCACTTGGGCACCACTGATCTAGATAAACAGTCAATAAAAAGTTTTAGAATGCATGCAGGTTTACTTGTATAGAGCTGAAGTATCAATAATTGATTTCAAAAGTTTTGATAAATTCAAGCCATATAAAGGTGAAAAATAATGCACAAGTTATTTAAAAAATACTCACTCTGAAAAATTGTTTAGCGACTAATTAAAAATAATTTTGTAATACAATGTTTAACCCATGTGCTCACTTATGGAGTACTTGGTTATCAATAAGAATCTTTTTTTCATCTATAAGTTCAGTGATAAGCCAAGACCATAATTCCCCAAGGTTGGCATTGGTAGTGGCATAAATTAACGATATATTTTCTTTAATGTTAAATGTCCTATGGTGTATGGGCTGAGGATCAAAATATCAAGAATTTTAGGCTTATAAATTCGACAGGGCTGAAATGTTGTGTTCTATCAATTCCAGTTCATTAAAAAATATAACCAAAAGATTCTAAATAGTTTATTCAGTTGAGGTTGTTATAGCTCTTTTGAATGTCGAAAACTACGTCATCGGTTTGCAAATCTACACGGTGGGAGGCCTCGTTCTGTGAATTAATGAATATTTGAATAAAATTGAACAATCTCAAGCAATCATTAAACATTATTCACATCTTTAAAACACGCCCCATCTGCTCGTTCAGTACTCGCTTGTTCAGTGGCACTTTTTGATGCAGTGTTCCTAAATAAAACGACGGTGTACAACCGCGAGGCGCTGCAGCGCGCCGTGAGCCGACCTGCGGGCGTGCCCCTGCTCACCGTCTCCAACCACCACTCGTGCTTCGACGACCCCGGCCTCTGGGGTGAGTTACTGCATGCACACACAAAAGAGCAAGAGATTCATTCAGTTACACACAAGTGCAAGGACGTCGCCAGCTGAGGACCTAGGAAAGTTCATGAAACTTCACCCTGGTAGTGCTCTTAACTCAGTTGGGACTGAAATTACCTCGTAAATTCATTCGAGTTTCATTATGCAGAAATGTCAGGCAAGCAAATCAAGTGAGCGGACTGTGGACTTTAGCCCCCCCCCCCCCCCCCCCCCTGACACCTTCGGCGATCAGAAGTAACAAAATGAAATCATAAGCTGTATCGTTTTTTTTATTATTTCGCTATCCAAAGCAATCCCAATAGGCGGTAGGACCCCAGCTGTGAACCCAAGTATAAGAAGAATCGGTAGCAGTCGATATGAGCATAGCTAAGAACCTCTTCATTCCTGGGTATGCTCTATCGATCTAATATCAAAATGTAAAAGAGATGATGAAAAAACTAATTAGCTAGAATTCTGATTTCTGCATATTCATATTGACAGTCTGTTTTTAATCAGATATTCTCATAAACATAATGCTAACAAACTTAATGTTTACTGTATTGATGAATATTTTGATTCTGCAATATATACCTATTCAGGGGTATTCATCTGTAAATAAACTGTTTAATCACTTTTCGTTAAATTATCTGCTAATCAGCTGATACCTACCGCACAATCTTATTTTAAGCATCAGCTGCGTCCTGTTATTACCGAATATGTTAATAAATATTCACGATTCATTATTCCGTCAGCAATGGTAGGTTCATTGTTTTGGTACAAGGATACTATCGGGTGACGTCACAACAGCGTCACTTATGACGACTGACATGGAGGCCGTTTTCGGATCCTCGTTACGTGTTACCAAATTCTTGTCCGATAACACTGTCAACTGTTGTTATTGTCAGTAAAACGAAAATTTATTTATAACTAGCAAACCAGTGAACCAAATGTTCACCAAAAAAAAAAAATGGTTGCCTGTAAAGTCGGTTTTACGGGCGAAGATTTTACGTGACAACGTCTTTTTCTCGGTAGAATATTTATTGATATGAATATAATTAAATTGCACAATAGGAACAAGGAATTGAATGAAAATAAGAATTGCACAAATTTTAACTATAGAAATATATTTTGTTTACTAAAACATTGTACATGTAAACTTAAACTTAACACGAGAGACTCATCGTAACGTTACCGAGCGTTACACTTTTTCATAAGTGACTCCCAGCCGCAACCTAATTTAAGACGTTGTCACGTCAAAAAAAAGTATTTAATTAATTGAGAACTTCGGAGATTTTGTGTGGTTTCGTTTGAAATAGAAATTACGTGATTTCTCGAAAACCGGAAGTGCTACGTTACTCACATCCGGTTTGTAGTCTTATCAGACTATTCTCAACTTATAACTTAAACATTCTCTTTATCCATCTCTTACGGTTTGGCTGCTGAAACAGCACCACGGACGGACGGACGGACGGACGGACTTGTCTAATAGATAAGAGATTCTTTACTCGTCGTTGGAGTTTTTGCTAACTTCCAAATCTTACATTGTCATTGCCTTTTTCTGTACGTTTTGTTAAACCAGGTTTTGTCTAAGGACTGCCAGATAATGCTGTGATAAAGGAGTACTATAATTTGATTAATAATAACTGATAAGCGAATAACGATAAATTTCCTTTCTATAATAAGAGTTGATGATGTTTTCAATTTAGTATTTATATATTTTACTTGTTTTTAATCATGTCCAACTGAGCTTCTACGGTTTCGAAAGATAGATAGATAAATTCTTTATTGCACACACACAAAAGAATACAAAAATAAGTAATCAATGACATAATGTGGGTAAAAGCGGCCTTATCGCTTTAGCGATCTCTTCCAGACAACTTTTGGGGTAAAGGATAGTTAAACGAAGATGTACATTTTTTCTTGAACATATAAAGATCGATCAAGAACAGCGATCGTTGAATTTAAGCAACTTTCGCAGTGGTCGGTCATTGGATGGGTGACCATAATTTACTATCTCGAGCTCCTCCGTGCTTCGGAAGGCACGTTAAGCCGTTGGTCCCGGCTGCATCTGCAGTCGTTAGCACCCACCAACCCGCACTGGGCCCGCGTGGTGGGTCATGGCCAATCTCCCTATTCCATCCATAGGGAAGCCTGTGCCCCAGCAGTGGGGACATTAATAGGCTGATGATGATAAAGATCAAAGAAAGATATTGTTTTTTCTTTCATTACTATTAATAAAATGATAACATTTGAGTTTTTCATATTAAATTGAGTGTGAATGTCTTAAATGATTGCATTCTAATGCCAAGGCGTGGAAATTGTCGAAAAAGTTAACGATCAAATACGGATACCCGAGAACATTTGAAGTTTTGAACATATTTTAGAATATCACGTCAATTCCGTTATCTTGTGCTCCTAATTCGTTAAAGATAAATAAAAACAAATATTTTCAACACTCACACCAATTGGCTAGCCAGAAAGTAAGCACGGTAACGGATAGAATGCATACCTATCCTGATACATATGTAAGTATATTTATATACAAATACATATTAAACATCCATGACTGGAGTACAAAAGCTCGTTTTCATCGCACAAACATCTGCCTCCACCGGGATTCGAACCCGGGACCACTGGAGTAGGCGACACCTTGAAACTCGGCGTACAAAACAAACCACTCAGCCACAGAGGTCGTCTAAAACGTAACATGACGTCATACTACTAACTTTTGTCGATTCGGAGTAGGATTACCGTTCCTCCGGGTAAGCCCGTCAAAAATAATTTAGTTAAAAGAAAATATAACTAGAAAAAATTCCATGCGGTCCAGGCAGCAGACGGGACTCGAACCCGCACCCTTCGCAATCCGGGCGAATGCACTCTTTAGATTTAAACATCATGCTTTAAAATAATAAAAATTATAACTATAATTGCTATTTCTTCTTTCAAATGTTTAATACTTGCAAAAGTATTCATTTGACATTGTGGGTTACCTATAATGCGAAGAGATGGCGCTGCCTTGCAGCTTAAGAATGGCCAGAAGAATTTCGACGCGGTCCGTGAGGGCCGCGGTAGCATAATTGGTCAGTGCATTCGCCCGGATTGCGAAGGGTGCGGGTTCGAGTCCCGTCTGCTGCCTGGTCCGCGTGGAATTTTTTCTAGTTATATTTTCTTTAGATTTAAACATCAAGCAGTTACATGCTTTAAAATAATAAAAATTATAACTATAATTTAGTTTTCTGACGGTCCAACAGAAACATAGAAGAAGAAACAACTATTTCGTGGATAATTCAAACTGTTTGGAAATAATTAATAACTAGCAAACCAGTGAACCAAATGTTCACCAAAACCTGATTTCTCGAAAACCGGAAGTGCTACGTTACTCAAATCCGGTTTGTAGTCTTATCAGACTATTCTTAACTTATAACTTAAATATTCTCTTTATCTATCTCTTACGGTTTGGCCGCTGAAACATCACCACAGACAGACGGACTTGTCTAATAGATAAGAGATAAGTTTCGAACCCAACCCTGGTTTCTTATTTCTACAATTGGCAATTTTTTTGTCGAATCCCCTCTATCGGTGACTACCGCACACTATTTGTTGCATAAGTAATAAAAAGTACATAAGAAATGTCAAATCATTAAAAAAAACGACTGAAGCATTCCACAAAAGTATGCCCAGCACTGGTTTCCTGTTGTTTTTTAATTCCTATAATAAAATTCAAACCGTGGAAAATACGTATTGCGTTATAGAATGAAGTTCATTTGAATTCTTAACGAGCGCACGGTTTCACGAAAACCAGTGAACCAAATGTTCACCAAAAAAAAAACAAAAAAAAATGTATTTAATTCATTGAGAACTTCGAAGATTTTGTGTGGTTTCGTTTGAAATAGAAATCACGTGATTTCTAGAAAACCGGATGTGCTACGTTACTCACGTTCGCGTTGTAGTCTTATCAGACTATTCTTAACTTATAACTTAAACATTCTCTATATCTATCTCTTACGGTTTGGCCGCTGAAACAGCACCACGGACGGACGGACGGACTTGTCTAATAGATAAGAGATACTGTATAAATGTTTCATTAATTGTTAAGTTTATTAAATTTCAATCACACACTTATTTTAAAACTATTTCAAGGCAACAAACATTACCCTTAATACATTTATAATGTGTTATTCTAATTGATACATTTGATAAAGAATATGAAATAACCAAATTCAATTAATGATAAGTAAAAGTTATTTATTTTGTGATGATGAGATAACAGGATCCCTTCTATTAGATTTCTTAGACGGGTCTATGTAGTGAATAGAGCTGTAGATGTTATTAATTATTTATTACTCTTGCAAACACGCAAAAAATTATACGCAGTTGTTTGAGAAATCCTAAAATAGAAGAGAAGTAATTTTTGAACCGACGACATGTTCAATAATTACTTCTCTTCTATTTTAGGATTTTGTCAAATATAACTGTGTATAATTTTCTATATCAAACAATCCTGTCAAAAATATCGATGACATGAGAGCCCTTTTTTTATTAACTTTGGCCGGCCGTTGTAGACGCATAGATCTTATCGAATTAAACAGCAATCTAAAGTAGGTTACTAAGTAGTAAAGTTAAATAACTATAACATAATATCACCATCATCGTCATTAGCCCCCACTGCTGGGGCACAGGCCTTCCCTATAGATGGAATAGGGAGATTGGGCCCTGACCCACCACGCGGACCCAGTGCGGATTGGCGAGTGCTAACGACTGCAGAAGCAGCCGGCTTAACGTGTCTTCTAAAGCATGGAGCTACTCGAGATAGAAGATTTTTGGTCACCCATCCAATGACCAATCACTGCGAAAGTTGCTTAACTTCAACGATCGCAGCCGAACGCGCTGACCACCCGCACCATCGAGCTCCTCATAACATCTCTTATCTATTAGACAAGTCTGTCTGTCTGTGGTGCTGTTTCAGCGGCCAAACCGTAAGAGATAGATAAAGAG